CAAAGATGCATATTACTGCCAAGATATGTGGACACAGTGGATGAAGAGAGGAAATGACAATGCTGACTTAAGATCTATAAAGGACATTACCAGATCATTTTTCAGTTTTTCCAAAGCTGCAAGCATTTTAATGAGGTTACAATGAAGACGAATAAATACCTAGACATGATAGATACTGATGCTTTTAAAGGGTAGAAGGCATTTGGCTGGGTTATTTTAAGTGTTTGGTGGCCATGGCCTACGTATATTGGCCTAGTTATTTTTTGCTAAAAGTAGGTCTGACTGATTGGTTTGATAGATAGTGGGTGTTGGGTGTGGATGCAGGTAATGAGGGGGTGGTTCTGGGATGCTGGAACCTTGTGTCAATGGACCCAATGCAACGAAACACCAGTTAATGAGAGGGTGCCCACCTAATGACCCGGATAATACAAATATTTCACTCAGAAGGGTCACCACTGATATATTTTTATTTTGGTTGATATATTAGTGAGACAGAAGGAAATTCATCATGGTGTGTTATGTCTTCTGGAATTTTATGGTACCACACATAGCTGAACAAAGATAATGTTGACAGTCCTCTTAGTTACTGCAGGCAAACAAGGGGCTTACCAGTGAGTGCATGTTAACAGGATGACCTGCATTTTGCCAGCGTACTGTAATGGTGTCTATGAATCAGTGGATGTGGATTTGTTTTTTATAATGTTAGGTTACAGTTAGAAAATGGTGTTGCTTGTTATGGTGTCTTGATGATTTATGATGGCATGGCCTGATACCCCTCTTGGGGGCCAAATGATGACTCAAGCCTGATTTAGCTTGAATATGAAGACTCCATAGGAATGCTCACCCATTCTTTGGCACATTTAACTGGGGATTGGTAACTGAGCCATAATAAAGTTTGATGGTTTATTAATTATAATAATCCAGGAGGCCACAAATACTCTATCATTCGTCACATATGTATACCCTCAAATTCAGCAGCAAAGAGATATTATAGCAGAAGGGAACGGCACATAATGTGTACAGCACAAAAGACACCATGTAAGGGAATGCTGTGTGGATTTTCACTCTGGAATACTGAGTCTGGTTTTCTCCAGTATTTTATTCACCTGCATCCTTCTACATGGTAATAACCCTGCAGAAAAAGACACTGACTTGTGACCCTAGCTCCTTACTGTACAGTATCTTGGCCTACTACTGTATAAACTTTAATTCAGTCACTGATAACTGCTGTTATATTAACTGTGTTGAGCAAGGAACCTTCATGGAGGATGAAGTTTCATAAAAAGTTTGATATTTTTTCCCAAGGATTCCAGACCTTGTCCTACTGTGACTACAAGTAACTGTGAATATATGTTTCTCTCATTGCAACACAAGTAAGTACAACTTAATACACACAAATGGAAGCATATGTACAAAGGTTTACATCTATGGACATGCAGATGTTTCATTTAAAATGCTGTCCAGAGAAACTAATTTAGATAACTGCAACAATTGTAAAGCTTTCTGCCAAGTTCCTTGGAGTGAAATGTTTACACTGCCCAGTATTTCTACTGACAATTTCTTAAAGAACTCTGTTTTGACCTGTGGTATGTGTGTTAGAGAGGAAGGTAAACTCTTTCTTTCCCACACATTTTCCCCAGAGTCATAAGATTGCTGGGATGTAATTGCTGCTATCCTCTACTGTGTCATCACAACTTGAATTACCCCTTTTTCGTAAATGCAAAACATCCCTAATAGCCGCTGACATCATTAGCTGTCTCATTGCATAGCTAAAACTCTCAGCAAAACAAGATCCAGTCTCAGGCGCTGTCCATATTCACTCTTCTTTAAAGTGCTTTGAAAGCAGCCAGGCTTCTTTAGTGAGGCCCAGATGGTTTCTATTCTCATGTTGTTATGTGTCTGGGCTCTCTTAAACTCATGCAGACCTATTTATCAATTTAACCAAAGTTAAGCCTAATCCAAGGCTTAATAGAGTGAGACAGTGGCATTAACAAGCAGGGGTAAGTCCAGCTGTTACAAAACAGGCTCCAGTGTCTCAGCACTTGCTTGGGTTGTGTCTAGGCTGTTTATTACCTCACAGTGTCAACACCATGGCCTTACTGGTGCTTTATTCTGTCTTGTATCAGAGATTGGAAGCAGGTGGTTGGTCAGCCCCCACACCACACAGTGGGCTCTGCCACCACAACTTGGCAGGAGTATCAAAGAGAATAACACTCAAGAAGCCAACTGTTGATGAGTGCTGAAAAGAGGGGGAGGAGAAGCAGAGCATAGGCTCTTGCTTGAACTATTACCAGAGCCAGGCTGTTCTTTAACACTGCTCTCTGTGTATATTCTCTCTCTAACAAGGCTGAATTGTGTTGAAAAGGCAAGGCTGCTGTGCTTTCCCTGCAGCAACCTCGCTCATTTATCTAGTATTTGAAGCACCTAAGTGTTAATAGTGATGGTGAGTGATCATTTCCTACTGGTGTTAAACAGTAGCGCACTGTGGTAATATTGTAATTTTTTCACTTATGATTAGTGTAAGGGATTCAAATTTCCTAAACCTATAATAATTCAGCTACTAATCCAAATAGTGTGTGTGAGTTGGTGAAGCTGATAGCCGTCTCGGTTCTGTACCAGAGACAAATTTCTTTTGTAATATACTTAGGCAATAAAAGTGATTAAAACTTAAAATTAAAAAGAATTACTGTGTTGCCTAAATGCAGGAAACATTGTAAAGGCCTAATAATTTTGTAAATCTTCATGACCACACAGCAAGTCTGTAGCTGCTTTTTCTCCACCATACATGAATCACCTACAGGACCATAAGAAGTCTGACACTGTGGAATGTTAAGGCTCACAGCGCAAATCTAATAAAAGTACAGGATTCCCTGGTGGGCATACAGATATCCAAGTTCACTGGTCTCTGTGGGTAATTATATTTAGACGGAATGTGCAATACATATCCTCTGTACACACACAGACTGTTTCCTGATTTTTGGTGGTAATTCTGTCCATCATCCATTACCTATACCAATTTCTTGTAGAGGGTCAGTAGACTGTATGGTGGCTGAAGCCAATCCCAGTCAACACTGGGCTAGAGGCAGGGTATCATAGGGCTGACAGAGAGACAACATCTCACACCTAGAGTTGACAAGAAGGATGAATGATTCCACACTGTCATATGCTAAGCTCTTACTATTCATACTGTATATGCCTTTTGCTATTTTTACCTTGAACATAGCAAAAACAAATGCCTTCATAAAACAATGCATCTCAGACTTGGTACTGTAATCAAACCTGTTTAAAATCTGAGCAGACCATTAGAATTTCAGTTTAAACGCTTGAACTGAAGAAATGTAAAATAAAAATTGACAGGTCCCATTAACTAAGACTTTTCAAAAGAATTATGGCAGTTTTTAAATGAGACAATACAGGTAAAATGTTGTGAAACTATCTTAAATGTCTGTATTCAAACACAACAGAATTACGAGTGCATGTAATCGCCTCTGCACCAAGCAGAGGTTCAGTAAATGAAACTGGCTGAACACAGGAGCTTTGCTGACTCTGTATAATGATTCTAACAGAAGAGTAAGGATAAATGTTTCAACCATGAGAGAAGGAAAAATGTTTACAAAAAAGAGAATATGAAGATGTGAGTTCTCACTACAGATGACTGGGGGGAAAGTGAAAATCAAGAAGAGAAATTCTGATTGGATCTAAGAACTCTGTTCTCAACTTGTCATTCCAAGGTGTGAAAACCAAAGAGCCCATGTCAAAATAAACGCATGAGAGAGCTAGCTCTAACAAACAATGACATGTTCCTGTGAAATGTCTTAGCAAGAGGAAGGATTGTTTAAAACCCCAGGCAAGCAGGTGCTTCCTTCTGGGAAAGTCAAGGAATCAAACAGGAAAGCCTCTGAAGTGTGTGTGAAGCAAGCATGTGGGGGTAGGAAACAAATATCCTCTCTTCACCATTTTGTCTCTGCAGGACTCTTTCAAAACAATACAACATATTGCCATATGTGATGGCATTTGCTCTAGGCACATTCTTAACTATGTGAAACCAGAGGTGAATATTTCCTTGTTAATATACAGTTTTTATACAGCACAGAGTGGAGGCTCAGCTGGGTTTGCCACAGCACTCCAGGCTCTAGCCTTCAGAGGAAACTATTAGGGTTTTTCTATAACAGATACCTACTGAAACGTGTCGAGCCGTGTAACACTCGTCATGGATTTTGAGTTTTTTTCTACTGCCCTCCCTCCACCTGCTTTGGTGGCACAATCCAGGAGCTATATTTCAGCATCCCTCAGGAGGTAGTACTAAAATCAAGTGTGGGGGGGGGGGGGGGTGGTGTTGGATGTCGGTGCTTGCAGAGCGGTCACCTGTGATTGTCAGTGTCCTCACACCTCAACTATTGTTGTTGTTATGCTGTGCGACTTACTTTTTTCATTGTTGTTTGCCTCTATTCACCTGGCTGCAAATCAAACTCCCCCTCTTCTGGGGACAGTACAGATTGATTGGTTTATAGGTTAAATACAACCTTCAGTGAGTGGACCACAGGAAAAGCAGTGCAGAAATCACATTTCTGCAAGTTTGTGTTCTTCTTGTTCAACAGCTGTTTGATAAAATGTTCATACTGTCTCCATTAATTACTGATTGTTGCACTGTGGAGTGGTCCTTCATTGGAAATGCAGCCTATTCCTCCCTGAAAGCACTTCTACCTTTAACTACCCAGAGACCCCGACAAAGCAGCCTCATCCAATCGCAGCTACACTACAGGCTTATTCTGCTTTAGCAAAGTGAAAGCATATGGCCTGAACTTGGCCTATAAAAACCTAAACATGTTGTCATCTGAAGATGTTAAGTCAGTTCACTGACTCACAGAGTTGCTCTCGGCTTGCTGTATATTGTATATATTGTATTTGAATAGCTACAATGTGAGGAATTAAGTAGGCAGGTTTGCAAACATAACCAACTTTATTTTAATCATGCTAAATGGTCTGGAACAATAACTCACCATACTGGCACTGTGTCCCTTTGAAGCCCAGTGGACACTGACATATCTGGTCTCCAGTCTCTGCACATCGGCCTCCATTGAAACATGTATTAGCACCACACACCCCTGTGGAAACCACATATCATATGCCAAATTGCTGCTAATGTATCTGTGTTTGTGGGCATTTTAAATGCATGGATGTGTGCAGCCTGTGTATCTGTGTATCAGTATTCCTCCATTGACAACCTTCTGGCCAAATGTAACTGGTATTGTTCTAGCTCAGTTATTGTCTTAAATATCAAATTGATATACAGCATTTTAATATACAATAGCATCATAGCAATATTGAACCTAGCCCTATGTGATATGTAAATAAAATGCTATTACTCACTTTGTAAACAGCCCGTCTCTTCACCCTTCTGGGTCCAGCCTGGGCAGCACTTGTACACTGTGTATAGATCCATGCTGTACACCTGCCTGTACGCTGTGTAGTACATTGTCCTGAGGAGGAGAAATGCTATTACAGTCCAGTTGTAACATGATAGGATTTTCTAGTGGTATACTCTAGGTTTATACTAATTACAGTATGAATATAACATTATGTGTCTTAATAGTTAGAGAATCACAACTTTATGATTTCAACTCACAACAACAAAATAAAGATAAGTTACTGTTATTGAAATGTTTAGAAGTAATAAGTATTTACCTAAAATATCTTGAAATGGTATGTAACCTATGATGGCAGTGCACTGCCAGTAGCATAAGACTAGGCTATTAGAATTACAGTATATCAGTAATGTAAGTAATCAATTTCAGAATGTGAAGCTGTGGTCTCTTTCCAGTTTGGCCTATTTAGAGTTGCACTGTATGTTGTGATCTCTGATTTCAGTCAGAAGCCAAAAAAAACAACAACAGGTAAGCTCTTCCTTGAGCCACAGAAACACTAAGCCTCAGTCATTCCAGCAGAGTGTTTTTAAATGATAACAACAAATGTACTTGACCAGGAAAACTCAGTTATATACCAATATGTAAAACATTCAATTGCCACTCATTGCAGGAGTGCTTATGGTTTGTGTCATGTTTGTTATGTTTGTGCCATCATGAAAGCATTTTTGTGTTTACCTCCTCTCATAGCCCATACACCATCTGTTGCTGGTGCAGCCCTGTTTCCACACCTTAACCATGCGGGAAACAGCTTGAACACAAGGCTGACGGGCCCCCAACATGGACATCTCCTGGTCAGCACAAACATTAGGCCTGTGCATGGAAAACACATACAATTAAAAAACCAGAGAAAGGGACTGACAGATGCAAATAAAAATACTGTTTAAAACTGGCATGTGCGTAGCTTTGTCCATTTTTCATTGTTGTATATAGTAGCCTATGTTGGGGTAGGTAGTTGACTGAGTTGACAGCTTTCACTGATGTCTAAGCATGTGGCAGATCTGATGTATTTTAACAGACACAAACTTCCACATCCTGCACATTCCCTTGCATGCACATCAGGTCATCCAGCACATTGTCAGACAATTACAGCTTCTTATCTGGTGCAGTGTTCTTCATTAAGGTGCAGAAAAACAGTCCGTGGTTTGGACACTGCCAACAAAATTATACAGGAAATTCAGTTTTTATTCTTCTGAACTGTTTGCATGTTCATGTTCTTTGCACGCACATATGTATACATGTTCATTAAATAGCATAGAAGTTTGTACTGTACAGCATGCGGTCATAAGTAGCCTGCATCTGTCTGAACTCTAAATGCAGGTTAACTATCCAAAGGTGTCCTTCACAAGACATCTGGCTTCAATACAAAGCATCCCGAAGTTAATTAGAGAAACTATTTCCTTTCTCAGGTAATGAAAATGATTCCATCATTCTTGTACAGCACAGTCGATTTAACTTCGGAACTATATAACTATTATACAAAAATATCACATTCCATAGGAAGGTATTATAGAGAAGCACACTAAGAAATACACATTCAGCCTCACAGGAGGGACTTGAAAGAGCGCCTCCTAGTGGGTATTGAACAGAGTAAACTTTAAAGTAAAGGTGGTAGGTAAAAGCAGAAATGCAGTATTTGTAAAACTTGGACTATGTAAATAGACTGTCTTTTTAAAATGTAGGCTGAACCTGTTGCTTATGTCTTATTTTACGCATGTACACAAGAAAGAAAGTAAAACGTTCTCATTTTCCTGATTATCAATAAAAAAGAATGCCATGTAAAAGCAGTGGAAAACATAACGTTAAAGAAATTACAGCGCGTTACTCACATGCCAACTTGCAGCTCCAAACATGGTGCGATGTGCATGGTGCTGAATAATATCACACACAAAATGAATATATCTGTGAACATAATTTCGACCAGTTACAGACACAGACGAGAATTAGTCATTGGATGAGGCTGCTTTGTCGAATTAGCAGCTTATGTGTCCATCAAATGAAGAGCATCCTGGCGTTTATGGAAGTCCGCCTTAAGACATGTCTCAAAAGTTAGTTTATTTCTTGCACTGATATTTCCCGAGATACTGTCCCGATTTCCCGTTTAATGGTTATGCAGTGGGACGACTTGTCTGGTTAGTCGAAGTACTCGAACTGCTCTGAGTGATGCACCACCCACAATCACTGAGGGGCCAGCTGCCGAAACCCCCAGGGACACTAACCTGTGCACGCACTATTAGAATACATCACAGCCAGCCATGCTTTTATGGGTTATATCTGGAATAAATTCACGATCTAATCAAATGTTAGGTGGTAGCCTACCAGAAGAAATTTAGGACAAAACATTTCCTGCAAATTTTCACCGTATTAAGGACTTTTATTTATTTTATTTGAATTAGGAAATATTCAACATATGTTAGCTCATTTATACGATGGCATTTGTATGATATGCTTCATATTTTATATAAAATAGCCTATCAGATTAATTATTCCACTCAAGTATCACAGCAACAAAACAAGGTTGCCTACGAAAAACAGATGCATAGCATGCATCAATAAAAAAACGAACGCGCTAAGAAAGTCTAAACAACATGAGGCTCAAAAGGTAAAGCAAAATTCAGTAAAATAAAAGCAGTGATAGGCTATACACAATGGGCTACATAAATAATAATCTACTCTTGAGATAATAAAAGATTATACAGATATTGAGATAGAATGAATTAGAAATAGTTTGAATTAAAGTGTTTTTACATCCAAAACCAAAAAACAGATTAACTTGGACCAGATGAAACGTCAGCACCTAATGTTTATGCTTTTAATTTCAGCGCTTGGTGCTAAATACGTAACTTCCTGTCGAACCTTGGTACTTCCTGTTTGGTCTACATACAGGAAAAAGACAGGAAGTCCTTTTTTCCATATCAAAACAAGGCTATGCTTTAAGACTACATCATCTCAATGTCATACACTTAACTCTGTCATCCAGTGTGTATTTAGAAGTTTTATTCCTTTTAGCGTTTGATAAATAAATTCTTCGTTGGAGAAGGAGCTCTCCTTAGCATTAAAACAAACGGTAAGAAGTTGAAACTAACGCGCTAGCTTGAATGGCGCTAATGTATTTTTTGGCCGTTAACCGAAAGTTACTTTGGCCTAAGGATTTTGTAAACCACAAAGCTGATTGGTAGCAGTTTACTTGGTGTAAATACCGATTAATCTTAGTTTATAAAGCGACCAAGAAGTTTCGTATTAGCTTTACCAGTACTAGCCACTTTAGCTATATGCATAATCTTTGGGGTTAGCATTATGTTAGCACGTATGTTAAAGAATATACACATTATCTTGTAATGGGAGCAGCAGCTGTAGCAGCTAAACCCAATATTGCCGCCCAACAGGCT